TATATATATATATATATATATATATATATATATATTTAATTATTTATTTATTTAGGTGTGTAAAAGATGTACTGGATTAGTATTTAAAATTAAGTCGAAGCGTGTTTTGAGGAGCAAGAACAAAAAGGTAGGACTTGCCTTTGTTAAAATTTAGTCGTTCGGAGCAAGTGTAATCATTTTTCTCACTGAACTTTAACGATTACGAGAAATGATCATGTCACCTACTTGAAAAACAGATTCCTACATCATACCAATAAATTCTATCGTTTTTTGCTTTCTGTGCATCTATTTTATTGCGAATACTTTTCCTTTTACGTTTTGTAGCAATCATTTTTCCTTCTTGTGTCTTCTCAGCCATTTGCGTAATATTATTTACGCTTGTTTGCATTCTTCAAATAATTGCTTGAATTGAATGATAGATGGCATTCATAATAGATATTTTTATATTCTGCAAAAGTTACTCATTAAAATTTAAACTTTATTTTTTTATAAATTTTTTGCTTATTATTTAATCAATTAACGTGTGTAATGCAATCATTTCTTTACTCAAATTGTACCCAAATATATTGGTTACAACAAACAGCTATTTTTCTTTTGTTTTTTGCACTCCTTTAATTAGCATTTTTTAACTTTTGATTTTGCATTCATTTATTCTTAATTTTTCTCTCTGAGAGTATGAAAATATGATTAAGTCATTGCTCACTCTATTTGCAATATTTCTATGCTTACTTTATTCAGTTAATATTTGACATATTGCAGTCATATACAGAAACCGAAATCTATTTAAGACAATACACTGATCAAAAAGTGATATACTGCGTGGGACAGTAACTTTTCCATACACATTAAACTTTCTTATGAGTAAACAAAAATTTTAGCAAAAAAAAATTTTTAAAAATTACGAAACAATTATCACAAATTAATTAGTCATTGAATAATAACCAGGTTCTATTACACAACTATACAATAAAACAAAATTATTGCTTGGTTCTTTTTTCTGAAATTTTAATTAATTAAATATTTAATTTATGACTATTATTATTATTATTATTATTATTATCATTATTGTTATCGTTGTCCTTTATTATTGCTATGATAAATTTATTTATGAATGCATTTACTTAATCAACAATATATTACAAATGATAATTAATATTACAGTTGATAGATATAACTGCAAGCAAGCATAGGATGCATTTGTAGACAAATACAATTGTAATGTCTAAAATTTGAATAGCGTGTGTGTAGATTTTTTTGACATGAATTGAATTGAATAGTTTTGCGAGTGATAGTTTTTGACTCAAAAAAAAGTCTAATGCAGTTAATTAGATGCAAACGTGTACAATTTCGAATATCTCGTAGAGAAATAAGAAGTCTGAAATGTGATTTTGCAATATTACTGATTTCAGAGGGAAATAATTGAAAAAAATTATTGAGAGGGAGTATATTATATATGCGCTCTGCTCATATGCCATATGCTCAACCGCTCAACAGAGACAGACTCTGCGTATCAACAGAGTTGGAACTTCTCCCCACTCAGTAAGCTTCAGCTTGGCATTATTATTGGGATTCTAACAGTCTATTCACTTATTTACCTCATCTATGCACAACATCATCTCATCGTCCTTTACATAATGACTGGGTAAGAAATGCATTTTGTTCATTTCTTTAATCAGACATTTTTGTAAGTTTATTTTTTCTTAATTTTTAATTATCAATTCTAAGGCATTTTTCTGTAGTATCAGCAAACATGACAGATCTTAGTCTAGTCGTAGTTTAGCAGCATACATCAATAAATTAGCTAAAGTTTAAAAATAGCAGTAAGTGTGCAAGTAAATGAAAGATATGAATATGATTATTCTACGGAATGTAAATAATTTAAAAAAAAATTGCTGCTTGTTAATGACTATTAAGAACTGCAAAAGTAAAGAATTATGACATGAATGTTTCTTCAATCATGTCACAGTTCAAGCATTCCCGAATTATTATGTATTTCGTGAATAAACTAGTCTCAGTAAAATAAAAGAACTTAAAATTACATCTTCTCAATAATCACAATTTTAAGTTTTTACACTTATGCTTCAGATTAATATTTGCGTTGATGTCCTTACTGTACACTTCGGGTATTCTAGCTGTAACATATATGCTGATCAAGATGGACAAACTTGAAAAAGAAGTGGAAAACTGCACAATTACCAAAATCGCTATTAATGATGCTGAAATAAAAGTAGTCGATAAATAGTTCATGGCCATGATTTGTACAATATGTATTATAATATGGAACCAAAATTACAGTGTAATAATTGGTCACTTTTTATATTCTCATTGCAATAAATTAGAGTGAAAGATAAACATAAAAGACTTTACCAAAACATCTTTCGCTTTATATCAAAAACGATGTGCACTGTATCGCAATTACAAATTCGGTACTGATTCAATGACAATAATTCAGAGCAAGTTCATTTTTCTGAAGTGAATAAATCATATTTTAGGTTATTAATATAGTGTGCATTTTCAATGCAAGCATTACGTTCATGAAATTATCAATTGTCAACAAATCTAGTATGGAGCCTAAATTTTCTGTGAATAAATTTCAAATTCAAATTCATTCTCTGTTTTCTGCGGCACATTCATGAAATCATCAGTCTGCCAGAATCCTGTAGTACGTATGAGTATTGTGCCGAAATAAAGAATGTAAACATTACCAATTGCCATCTCATAATCAAATTTTGAAATTGGATAGGATCTTACAGCGTTCTCAATTTGTTCCATAGATATTACCAAAAAACACTAACCCACAGTTTGTTGCGACATATTCATGAAATCATCACTCTGCCAAGAATCCTGTCACAGAAACCTGTGGCGAAAGGTACTGAAAATAACTTGCCGTTCCCACGTAACGAATACCACTGATGCCAGACAAATTCATATTTCTTGATGAACATCAAAAAGTTTGACTGTTGATTCCTCAACCCAGGAAATATATACAAATTAGACACTCCTCGGAAGTACCCTCCTTGGCATTAAGAAACGACGGAATGATGTTATAAATGAACTCCTAACCCTTTCATACCACAATTCCAAAATGTTGTAGGGAGTTGTTACTCCTAGGTACAGACCACTTCAGAACTGTACACACTACAAACCTTCTAAATCGCAAATAACAACACAATTATATGCGAGTATCACACATGTCTTCCATGACACAATCCTATTGACCCACATCAAGACAAGCAAGCCTTTCATTATGAATCCACAAATATGAAAACAAGAACACAATTATTTTAGAGTTCTTTATTTTGCCAGTAAATTACCAAATGTAACGGAAAAAAATTTCTAAATATTGGTAACATTAATAATTATTTAATGAGAGACTGAGAAGACTACAATAATTATTTAATGAGAAACTGAGAAGATCACATAACAAGGAATGAAAACATAATAAGTAACAAAACTAGTGAAAAGAACAAAACTTATTAACATCAAATCATTGAATAGCAAACAAGCAATAAAAAAAACTTCAGTAAAGATGAGTGCATCACGCACTTACAATAATGAAAACCATGCACATATGATGCCATATTAAACATTACAAAAAGCATAAATAAAAATTAATGATACATAATAAATATAAAACATGCAATTATGAAGGATGCGAATGCTGCAGTAAATCGGCGGCCATCGTTTCTTTATTCAGGCTTCTTTTTTTAATGCTTCTGGACCTAAAATACATTAAGACTGAAGAGATATATGTGCCTATTAAGATACATATATTTGTACGTAGATACAGATACTTGAGCCTCTTTCTCCGGTTTTGACTTCTTGTAACATACATATATACAAAAAGATACTAGTTTCATTATCAGTTCTTTAAAGCGAAATTAAAAGTTGCATACTTATTCAAAAGATGTATTCTCTGACACGAGGGAGAAGCTTTCCACTTTTTATTCTGCTTCTCCATGTCAGAGATCCTCCAAAACCATGTTTTAACAAGCGGCTCGACGGATCCACTTATGAAACGTTGCATAGTCTGAGCGTCACCATCAGTGACGCTTTATGCACTCCACCTGTCCAGCTAACTTCATTTCCGTCGGCCCAAGAATCGCTTATTACCTGAATTTTACAAATACAATTAATTAACAGATAAAAATTATAGAAAATAGAAGAATACAACGGTGACGAAAAGCTGAAAGATACACTCTAAAAGATAACGGAAGATAGGCATCACTTTGCTCAAATCAAAAAGCGAGCTGTCAATTCCACAGACAGTATAGACACTCAGAACCCGAATAAATGAAAGTAAATGTCAAAATACCAAGTACGAAAATCCGAAACACTTAGTATAATATAAAACATGCAAAACAACTCAACTAACAACCTAAACAGCAACATGAACAACAACTCAAAAGACACAGCGAAACGACGTCTAAATAATACAGCCAAACATACAATCAATAATCCCACGAACACTACACCAAACCACAACACTGAACACTGACTTTCAACGCTCTCTCCTTCAATACAGTCCATTAAAATTTATTCTACCTCACATTTAAAATCTTTTCCATGAACCGTCAAGTGTATTACGCAACCAATAAATTCACTCAGCGCATGTAAGTTACTTTACTTGCGCGTTAATTTTTTTGTACGTAGATACAAATACTTAAGCCTCTTTCTCCAGTTTTGACTTCTTGTAACATACATACATACAAAAAGATACTAGTTACATTACCAGTTCTTTAAAGCGAAATTAAAAGTTGCATACTTATTCAAAAGATGTATTCTCTGACACGAGGGAGAAGCTTTCCACTTTTTATTCTGCTTCTCCATGTCAGAGATCCTCCAAAACCATGTTTTAACAAGCGGCTCGACGGATCCACTTATGAAACGTTGCATAGTCTGAGCGTCACCATCAGTGACGCTTTATGCACTCCACCTGTCCAGCTAACTTCATTTCCGTCGGCCCAAGAATCGCTTATTACCTGAATTTTACAAATACAATTAATTAACAGATAAAAATTATAGAAAATAGAAGAATACAACGGTGACGAAAAGCTGAAAGATACACTCTAAAAGATAACGGAAGATAGGCATCACTTTGCTCAAATCAAAAAGCGAGCTGTCAATTCCACAGACAGTATAGACACTCAGAACCCGAATAAATGAAAGTAAATGTCAAAATACCAAGTACGAAAATCCGAAACACTTAGTATAATATAAAACATGCAAAACAACTCAACTAACAACCTAAACAGCAACTCAAAGGACAATACAACTAGCAACACAACCAACACAGCCAACACAACCAACACAACCAACACAACCAACACAACATCTAAATAGTACAACCAATGACCTAATAAACACTACACCAACCCCCCCGACCAACATTGACTCTCTACGCTACCTCCCTCAATATGGTCCATTAAAATTTACCCTGTGTCATATTGAAAATATTGTCCATGGACCCTCAAGCGTATTACGCGACCAGAGAATTCACTTAGTGCATTGTACATTACCTCACGCGTTAACTTTTGCGTGGATCGTTTGATCATACTAGGCAACTACTTTCCATTCACTTGTTCAAAGCAGTTTCAGTTGCGAAAGTTTTATTCTTTTTTCGAATACATTTACATTTGCTTGCAGTTCTAGTACGTCTTTCAATTTTACTCAGAAATGACTTTGAGAAAAAAAAACTTTTCAAAGTCAATTGTTAAAAATAGCTGCATATAGTTAGAACTGTAATTGCAAGTGTTGACATATGTAGAAGTTGACAGCATGAAGTACAGAATCAGCAGAACAAAGTTATGCTTGTCATCCACAAGTTGCAAGCAAAGAATTTCTGTGCTCATTACAGCAGTGATATAATGAAGTAGTGAAAAACAATAAGAAAACAGCAATGCACATATTTGATTAATAGTAAAAGTGACCAATGCAAGACAGAAATCTAAAATTCAGTACTTTATTGATGCAAATGACTTCAGATTCATAAAAGTAAATGATGGGAAAGTGCTCAGTGATTTGTTATTCAGTTTCAGTGAAGATGTCCTGTATTTGTTTGTTAAGTGGAGCTAATTTGCAAATTGAGTTTGATGGATGAGGTAGAAAACAACCTTCAGTAAATGCTAATAGTTATAGGAGTAACAAAATTGATATCATTAATAATAATAATAATAATAATAATAATAATAGTGATAATAATAATAATAATAATAGTCATAATAATTTTTCATTCATTACTTGCGTATTGTTATGAATGAATTAGGTCATATGTTCAGTAATGTGAAACTGCTTATCAATAATAGCTCGGATTTCGCTGTATTAATCACATAATGATTAAAAGTTTCTTTAACGTGTCGATATTAGAAGAAACTTAGAATGAAAACACTTAAAAAGAGAACTACTAATATTAGAATACTAAATAGTTCTTGAATAAATATTGGCAGTGTTTTGTATGTGCATACTTTGCATTGCAAAATTCAGTGGATTAGAAAAGCTTGCAAGTAAAAAGTCAAAATTATACATCGGCTTCTTTACTTGGCGGTAAAGGTACACTGGAAAGAGTACTGTTCAGTGTATCGTTCAGGGATGAAGCACCACCAAGGTGTGCTGGTGGCGACGTAATAAGTTTTCTGAGGGATGACTCTGTAACAGACTTATTTACAAAGTGACACTTATTATGCTCAGTTAATTTATTTAGGGCAAATATTTCATTAAAACTACTAAGATTCGAGTAAATTTAATCGAGTAATTATCACTCTTTCCAACTAAAATTTTGGATTAAAAATAAAATTGCCAGGTTGAATAGGAAGATTATTCAAAATAATTTTTGTTAGTAAAATATTGCAATTTCAATCTTTACTAGCTGGTGCAACATCGAGCTGAGCATTTACGCGTGGTGCGGATATGGGTGCGCATTCGTCTTCTTGATTAACTGTTGCGTGATAGACTGACTGAAATAAAAGTAAAAGTGATTTGTACTTTATTGCAGAGATCAGTATGAAACTTCACTATGCAAAATTTTATTGTATAAAGATAAGTAAGTAAATTGTGATGATTTTCACAAATAATTAATTTCCGATGCGTACTGAGTGTTTTTGAACAGAATACTAGCAGTTCAATTAAATAAGCAATATTCTGCAAAGCTAAGCAAACTTGTAATAATGGTCGGTTAGCGTTGCCTTCAGTTCTTAGAGCTGATCTGTAATTATGTCCAGAATTGGCATTATTTGAATGACGAATTCCTTCTTGCATTCGCCTATTCATTCTATAATGAATTTACTGGTTGAAAAAAATAATTACTTCTTGTTTGTTCATAACTATTTTTACTACTTTGACTATATGTTTATGACAGTTTTCATTTAAACGAGTTTGCAAAAAATATAAATCAAAATAACAACAATCAAATGCTTATCCATAAATGATAAAAAATCATGATTTTATCAAAAAAAAAAAAAACGAACAATAAAGTATAGATAACTATAAGGATGAACAAAATGAGTAGAATGCCGGCAACAATGCCAAGAACTATGGTTGCGATTTTGTAACTGGATGATACAACACCCTAAAACATCTTCATTTTGAAAGTATTGCTTGCAACTTTTAGTCATTGTAAGTTACAGTTTTTTAGAAAAAAAAAACACACGCACACAACACTTGAAATAAATTTAAATTTATGCAATATACTAACTGCAGTAGATGGATTAAGAATCCCACCATCTGCACTTTGACAGTATGATTCTTGACTGATCCCCCATGGACATTCAACACAGTCATGAACCTAAATTGACAACATGAATTTGCTTCATTTCATCTATACTAATCATACTTGCTCTTAGCAAAACTTTATATAATTATCACATGTTTGTTTTGTTAGTACTCAATTTTTATTTTTATTGTTCTGCTTATTAAAATAATTAGTAAAGCGTAAAATAAACATACTTGTCCATTGATCATATAACTGCAGACGAAAAAAAAGTTAGTCAAATTAGATCTGCAAATTGCATTAGCAGCATTTGATGCAGACACATTACAAATGAGATCGCAGTTTGGTCCTATTAATCCTTTTATGCACTGTATAGCAAATGTCAATGTCAACCTAAACATCATTTATTACAATAAAATCTTAGAAATCAAAAACAAAAAAAGTATTCATAATGAGTTGTGTTGAAAAGTATTTGCTTACTGCGTTTGAAGAATTACACCATTAAGAGTTTGCGTTATTGTAGAGTGATGATCGTTTTGGGTTGATGGAATGACTGATTTTAACGGTTGAATAAAAGTGTCAACGTGTAAAACAGTTTGGATCTGTGTTAACTCTCCAGTTTGAGCATTTATTACAGCTCCCATATGATGAACAAATATGTCAATTGCTGACTAAAAATTCAAAATGTGAAAGAGCTTTTTTTCGTTTGATAATTGATAAAAATTGTTTTTTTTTTTTTTTTT